TATCAGGACAGCAACTTTTATTATAGTATATAATATATATAATTATGACACAGTAGAGAATTGAGTTAAAATCAAATTTTGGTTTAATTTCTTTCTTTTCAAATTTATTGCAAATTGTTGTTTATTTTAATTTGTCATAGTTTTATCGTTATAATAGTTTTGTGTAATAATTGATACCAACCTCTTCGTGTTCTTTATGGAATCGTTCCTTTTGCCTCAATGCCTCTTGAACTTTCAACTACGAATTGTGATATGATTTTAATTGGCAATGTTTTTTTGTGTTCACGTTTAATTAATAATACGCGTTATACTTGAACATTTGTATGAATAAAACTTACCCTATTTATGGTCTCTTCAAAGCTATTTGGCTGACCTCCATTCATTTGCAAATACCTCAGTCGGTCGTAATCTCGTGGGTCTACCATTGAACGTAATATCGTGTGACCCATATCCGGTCCGGGACCTAATCCACTTTGAAGGACGCTGTCCGGTGTATCAACCTATGGTTAACATACGAATAAGAAAAAAAGATTTTCATTCTCATGGGTATATTATATGTTGACGGATTAATATGTTCCATTTGTTTTGTTCTTTATTTCTATTTCCCTCTCTCTCTCTCTCTCTCTCTCTCTCTCACCCTTTACATTAATCATAGAATCATGTTTATCGAACGTGTATGGATTTGTACGATGAAATAGGAAATACAAGTATGAGAAGTACGTTGGGACTATCACCACGTATGGGATTTAATGAAACCACGTGGCCATAGAATACGCTAAACGAATTAAACCCGTTTGTTTACCTCCCCTTCCAATCCGGGATTTTACCGCAAGCGTGTGGACGCGTCCACTAAGTCTGAATAATACCGGGAAGAGTGGTAACAGTAAAAGTGCAAAGAATTTCCTTAATCTCCTGTTATTTATTTCTCTTTTTTCTTCTTTTCGGGATATGGAAAAAGGTGGAACGGGTAAAAACACACGTAATACAAAAACAAAAAAAGAAAAGAAAAATACAAGAGAAATAGAGAGAGAATACTTAAAAAATATAAAACAACATGCTGCCTCATTCATATATATTTTCTTTTATTTTTTTTTACTTACATTACCGCGAAATATATTTAATGAAGAAATAATTTTTTTTATTATAAGAAAATACAAATTTAGTATTTTTGTGAGGAATAACACGCTAAAGTTATGTGTTCTTGTTTTTTTTTTTTTCTTTTTTTTGGAGTAAGTTAACGTGTACGATATCGTTTTTAGTTGTTCTCTTTTAGATGCAAATAGAAAAGGAGTCGGGGGTGTTAAGATTCTAGAAGAAAGTCAGGGGCGTTAAGAAAACTAGAAGGTATAGCTTGTCGTCAAAATGTTTTACGCGGCATGGATGGTGTATGTCATAGGTGTTCCACGAGGCGATCATATTTCATGCAAATTTCGTGGGTTCTCTCTCTCTCTCTTTCTCTTTTACTTTGCCTTTTTCGTAAGTAGCTTAGACACCACCGAGTTCGACGTTTTCCTGTCACGCGGACACCTCTAACCCTTGAAAAATATAAGCGAGAATATTTTCACCCTAATTCTCCATATAAATTCGTCAAGCAAGTTTATTTATTCGAACTTTAAAGGAAAATATATATTGTATGTAAAATAAAATGAAACAAGTGATAAGAAATAATTAATTAACTCGTTCATACGGTTTACAGGTAGCGTTCACGTGGTAGAAAAATAAATAATTAAAAAAATATTATTATTGCACAAATAATAATGCATACAATTATATAACATCCTTATATATATATATGTGTTATATATAGTTGACGAATAAATCTGACAATGGGATTAATATTATTCGACGAATTGGATTACAATTCACCCTTTTTCCCGTACGATATTTCCACCCTATGAAGAAATAGAGAGAGAAAGAAAGTGAAAGAAAGAGAAAGTAGAGGAGTAGGGTTTGCTTTGGTGAAAACGATTGAAGGTGGCACGAATGAGGGTGGTTGTTCTATAGTAACACTAACGGTAGCGTACTTTAACATATAGGGTGTGTTAAAGAAGGATAGAGGAAGGTGTTAAAGATAAGTGTATGCAAGAACGACGTCTAGTCGAGCTCTGGGATTACGCTGACGCAAATGCGTGTCATGCGTTTCGTATACGACGAGGAGGAGGACAACGAGAGGGTGCTAAGAGGATCCGGATTTACCTTTACTTGGTGAGTGTAGCAAGACGACTAAGGGATGACGACGGACAGGTAGAACAGACAGAGACGAAAAGGGATAGAAGAGGAGTAAAGAGGAATTAGAAAGGTGTGTTGCAGACCACGACACAACTACGAAGAAAGAATGGGGTGGTGGTGGGTGTACCTTTCAGGTACGATCGATGTTGCGATCCTTAACGTCCCTTCTCGACGTTCCTCTTCTCGAAACCCTTTATTTTCTATCTCTTTCTTTCTTTTTTTCTTTACGTTTTTACCTTCCCCTTTCCCTTCCCGCGAACCATCCCTTCGTCGACAAACACCCTCAGTGTCAGGGTCTCTGTGCTTTTCTTTTCTTTTCTTTATTCCTTCTCACTTTTCAACCCTATCAACCCCTTTTTAACCCTACAACCACCACTAGCATCATCCCTACTATTACCATTACTACTACTAACACCAACATCAACCATCATCCTTCCTATTTTTCTTCTCTCTTACCTCGACGTTACCCCTCTAACCCCAACCCCATATACCAGTTCCACCACACCACACTTCACCTCACCTCAGTTTACCCCATCGTCTGAGTACTGGCACGTATCGTTCTCTGGCTTGACCTTTTCACTCGGGCCCGTTCTAATTAGTAAATGTATCTACCCCCGTGCAAACCGGGGGTTGAAAATAACGTCGACGCCTTGGCTTGGCTTGGCTTGGTTTGGCTTGCCTTATTCGCGAATATGCAGCAGTCGCGTCGAACCAACTTTTCTGTAAAATTCTTTTCAACCAAGTCGAATCTTTCTTTCCTTCTTTTTTTTTCTTTTCCTCCCCTTTTTCTTTCTTATTTTTTTTCCCCCGTTTCGCGAGTGGTACTGTTGCTGCAGCAGCAGCACCTGCACACCACCATGCACCACCACCCACTCATCCACCCCAGTCAGCCAGTTCGAATCAATTGAAAAAAAAGAACATCATCCCCACCCCCTCCCCCACCACCCCCAGTTAATCGTTCTACTCCATTCATTTGATTTTTTACTTTCGATTTGTTCATTTCTCATTTACCTTTCTCACCTTCGCCTTTTAAATATATTTCCCCTTTCTTTTTTTTCCTTCCTTCCTCTCTCTCTCTCTCTCTCTCTCTCTCTCTCTCTCTCTCTCTCACTCTCTCTCTCTCTTTTTCTATTTGTTCGTTCTATTTTTTTTTCTTTCCCCGTTTCTTTCTTTCCTCCTTTCTTTCTTTCCAATTTAGACGTTTATCCTCTCGGAGCGTATGCCAACAACTTCCTACGCTTTTCGTTTAATTACTTTTGGGATTAAAACGTCCGACGTTTAGTACGTTTGCATGGCCAAGAGAAAGAGAGAGAGAGAGAGGGGGGGGAGGGAGGGAGAGAGGAGAGAAAGGGTTTTACGAGAGGACAACTTTTAGATGGCACATCATCGAAAATACGAGATTGTTACGAAGTTTCTTAGAATAATAAAGAAATTATTTCAAGGTTTTTTGTCGATGGCTAATCATATACATTTGTTTTATAATTGTTCTCTTTTTATCTTTTCTATGTTGATAATTTTTTTGTATAAAATTGTTTATCTATTACAACGCGAAAAGAAAAAATAACAAAGAAAAGATTTTATCGTAGGTAAAATTTGTACGATAATTTTTATTTAAAATACGAAATGTGAATAATAGATGATATGATTTAATATTTAAATGTATAAATTAAAAATGAAGATTATCTTTTTCTCTTTGAGATTTACTTTTTTTTTTTTTAATAAAAAAAGGTATGCTTATTTTTAATATGTAAAATATATAACAAAAATATAAAAACTCATGGGCGAGTACTATGAGTACAAAGTAAAATTTTCTTTTTTAATTGTCGTAGTATGAAAAGATTAAGGTTTTTGTAAATCATCAAATTTATATATATTGTATAACCAAAAATTATATTAAGATAAACTTTAAAAGGGTGTCTAGCGGTAGAATTTTTGTGATAAAATTTATATTCGTTGGTAATACAACGAAAGAAAAATTGTTTCGAGTAAAAAATTTCAAATCCATGTTATATCCTTTAATCCTTTGATCTTTTATGTCAAGTCTGACTCGACCTAAAACAATTTTTTTTTTTGTCAACTAAATGTCACATTTTTATTAAAACAAACATCACGTTAGTTAATATTTATATTCTTTCTAGTGGAAAAGAAATATTAGAGATACAAGATATTTCGCGGTAAATAAAAGAACAACAAAATAATCTATAGTATAAAGGGTTGAAAGTTTAAAAATAGAAATAAAAATGTATGTGTACAATTTATCCTAAAATAATTTCACATATTTCCATGAATTTTCTCAATATAATATTTTATTGATTTAATATTAATTTAATATAATTAATATACCATAAAATAAAAAAGTATTGTAGTTGTAAAACACATATAACACCATAGAATATAACCAAATAAAATAAATCCAATTATTACATGAAACTGATATTCCTTAATAATGACATTATATACTTTAAACGTTTTAGAAGAAACGTATATGATTGGATTCGTTAAGATAAAAATATAATTATAACATACAATAATATTGTAAAATAAAAAACATATCATAAAAAAAAAATAACATTACATATATAAAAATCATACATCACAATATAGAATAATAATCAAATATAATAATACCAATTAAATTAAACTAACAAAAGAAATTAAAAAAATACCATTATAGTTTAAACGTTTTAGTAAAAAAACATATATGATTGGATTCGTTAAGATAGAAATGAAGAAGAAAAATAATACGTTTGACCGTAAGAAAAAGGGGTAGATCTAAGAAAAAACGACGATATGGTGGGTGGGGTGGGGGGTTTCAGGAGAGGTTGGTGAAAAGTAAGGAGGAGATTTGTCGTTCGTTAGGGTGGTGGTGATGGTGATGGTGGTGGTGGTGTTGGTGGATAACGGGCGTTGTGGGCTTTGAAAGCTCGCACAATGGTTCCCCGGCATCTTACCACGACAAGAAGACGCCGGTGTCCTTGCTTCGGAGTCCGCTTAATTAAACGAGATAGTGCTCGGGGCCTGGGGGTCGGCCACTGTCGGGGATCCTCTTGAAAGGCTCTACTCTCCTTTTTCTCTCCCCTTCACGGGATTCTCTCATCGTTTTCTTACTCTTACGTATCACAACTGGACTTCACCATCTCTCTCTCTCTCTCTTTCTTTTCTTCTTGATTTTTTTTTTTCCTCTTTTTTTTTTTTTTCTTTTATACTTTCTCTTTCTCTTTTACGTGGCAGACTTTTCACGTGCACGCTTCGTCTCTTTAACAACGTATTT